CGACTGTAATAAATGTGAAGGATAGTATCTATAATGTATCTACAATGAAATTAAAAACTTGAGCATTTTAAGATAATAATTGAATCCAAGAATTGAAAAAAGAAATTTATTAAAAATCAATGTACAGCTAAGCGAACTTGTGGCGACAAACTTTCACACGTTGCATTAGATAATAATATATTACATATAACTGAAACTTGCCATATTATATTTATTATAATTATATAAACATAATAAAATAAAGCAATTGCGTAATATGTAAGCAGTATGTAATGATACACACAATACATGATATTTTTATTTAATTATATATTACTCGAATCTATCTATGAGACATTTTTAATCTTAAACTATTTAAACAATACGTGTGATACAACAGACTATTTTAGATAACGAGAAATCTAAGATAAGAAGAAATTCTTTTATCAGCAGATTTTGAGTGGCGAGATCTCCCAAACCACAAAATTCCGCTGGCAACGGGAAATACTCTGTTGCTGGCTATATCACCGATAAAAGTTCATCGCACATGGTCGCTTTTAGCAATGCGGGCTTGTACTGATTCACATGTATAATTTATTGGCGAGCGGAATGCATTATCATAATGCAAATAATTACGCTCGCGCGATAAGACGCTCGTCGCTTTATCGCGAAGTCATCGAATCTATGGAAAGAGAAGTCGGCGCGTGTTCCTCTGTATAATTAGAATATAAACATTCTACAAGAAAAAAAAAGCAGAAATTGTTACATCGTAAATTGTGAATTTGTCTTTAGATAAAGTTTATGAAGAGAGTGATACTTTTGTAAACATATCTTATGATGTAGATAATTTATGATGTAGATAATATGATTGTGATTGATTCAAATGATGTTTGCTCAATTTTTATCATAAATAATCGCAACACAATCATTGCAATACAAATTTTACAGCAGTCGCCAACCGGATTCGATGCCATTGACCGCCGATATGTAATATCGATTTTACGTATATTTGTAGCTCGCGAAAACCAGGCGGGGGGAGCCGTCACTTTGATAACCCTTCGCACGTCAACATAATTCTTGTGTTTTTATTCATTCTGCAGTCTGCGTATATGAGGTCGAAAGTTGTTGCTTTGATAAAATACTTTTGCGTTGCCGCGGTAAGATAGCAGTAAATATTGACCGCGGATGTCGACGGATTTAAAACGTTTCGTAAAAAACAGGATGATGTAAAAGCATAGCAAAACATATATCTGCACTTTCTTGATGCAATGATTCCAGGAATTTTTCGGAATTTTTGAATTCTTGTTCTTCCTAAATCCAACACAAAGTTTAGAAAGTTCTCTCTATTTTATTTGATATATTCCTTCGTTTAAAAATAGACGAAAGATTTGCGAATCAAATATTTTACGATAATGATATATATCTGTCATTCTTTATCAATTATATTATCAATTGCATTTTCTAAATATATTAATAAATAAAAAATTATAGCGACCTTAAAGCACAGGAATTCTAGTGGATGCTTTCTCGTATGTTCGAGATTATCGATCTCATAAAAGAAAGTTCTTTATAAATAATCACGGCATTTAACAAACGTTTTCTTCGCAGCGAGCTGTTTACCTCAAAGAGAAGCGAAGAAAAAATTTATCGACGCGTGAAGAAGCTGCGTCATAGTGTTAAGCGTTATTAGACATGCATCAGTTAATGTTGTAGAAAATAAATGACGTAACGTGTGACAGAATCACGTTTTCATGCGGTAAACGTAATTTTTCGCGTGAGCGCTATATTTGATTTCTTCTCGAACAATCTTATCGAAAGTTCAATTTAATTAGAGTAAATCACATATTTTCTCTTTCTCTCTCAATATTATGAGAATCTCGAAATTGTAAAAAGTGACACAAAATATACTTTTAAACCAATTCTCTTTTTTAAAGACATCTAAATATATTTTATATAATAATGACATGTATTCTTTTAACGATACGTACATAAGTAATTGCCTGATCAATTAAATTAATTTTTTTTTAAATTAATTTTATCATAAATATAAAAAATATATTATATACTCGTACATTTTTTACGTTGAAGTTCAATGCAAACGCTCAATGCAATTTTCGCGCGCGATACAAAAACAGTATAGATGCAACATATTTATTCATAATAACGCGGAAAATTTTCCATTTACAAGTGTGATTATATGAGATCCTCTTGAGATGTTAAATGGTTAATTGACTCAGGATAAACGGATAGAGCGATGTCAATTGCCGGGATTTAAGAATTCCGCAAGCAGCAGGGGGCCTTGTTATTGTTGCCGTTTCTCGTGTTACTTGGTCAAGGTTTAATAGGTCTATTAATATGTATTATAGATAACTGTGTAAAAACGAAACTTTTATTTAGGTATAAAAAATTTTAGTATATAAAAAAAATTCCTTTATTCATATTCAAAGTGTTCAGAATGATATAAAAAGAAAAAGTATATATAACAAACAAAATATTAACATGTCATAATTGAAGTAAATACCGTATACTCGTTATATGATTTGCGAGTCTTAATGTATCTAAAGACTTTCCCGTCTTTTCGCTGCTAGCAACAAATTGTTCATTATAACGACATATAACGACACTCCGCGTCGAAAGAATCGCAGATTGCGCAGATATCGCGTGTACATAATCGCCGTTAATTAAGAGCTCGTATCCGCCGTTGCTACAAATGATAGAGGAGGAACAACGTAATTATTTATGAGGCTGTTCTATGATTACGAATTGGAATCGTGGACACGGCGACTAGCTGTCTGGTAATGGATCGCATTGGCTCCATTCCAAAGAATGTGAACGCGGCGGAAACGTGCGAGGCCGATCTGCGTCGTGATCCGAAAGTTCGAAAAAAAAATTTAGAATAAAATGAAAAATTAAGAACACATTTCGTTTCTTTTCAGGCCAATTTTGCGCCTGTGGAAACATAGGTAATGATTGACAAAATGGAAAGTTTGAATCTTTATCCTCAACGAATAACAATGGAAATATTGGGGGAGATATCGTAGAATACTATCGGAAAATTCAGAACGTCATGGTTATTTGGCAAAGACCGTTCGTTGTAATAATGGAAATTTTGTCTAGAATAAATCTTGGCATATACATATAAAGATGTGCGTGTTATTTGAAATATGATTGTAATGTCGCTTTGTGTGTGCATTCGCTTATGCAAATAATAAATTATAGGAAAGATTTTATAACGCAATGTAATTAATAACATTTTATTCGTGTGCAATTTATGTCAGTAAATTTATCTCTATTATATTTTTCTCGAATAATATAAATTTTGTCTAATGTAATATTTATTTATCCCGTTTTAATTATAAAAGTATTAGAATCTTTAAGTTATGCGTATTGGATTCAAATATAAAATACAATAATGTAAGATTTATTTACGAGGATGAGAAAAAAATTTTAATTAGAAAACAATAAAATATGACGCATGTTTTCTTCTCCCTCTCTAATTAAAAGTATATTTATCTTGCTCGTTGTTCCTTGTATGTTGTACTTCAGAATTATTTTCGCTTCGAGAAATCAAACAAAACTATCAAGAGAGAAATCAAAAGAGTGTCAAGAGTTGATGCAGTCAAAGTAAGACACTTCTCGGTAAGAAGCAAAGAAGCGTTTCCGTAAATAAACCGACGGCGTGCTGCCTCGGTGACCAAAAGGGGATGCCCACGTGAGCTTTTGCGGAGAAATAAATCTGGTAGGTCCAGAGAAAGCGCGGAGAGTTTCGTGTGTCATCCCTTAATGATCCACCGAGTGTACAAGGCTCGTTAAATATGATATATGCTAAAATTTCGCCATCATCTTCACTTTTGAATTCCTCGAAAACAATTCTTTTCTCTCATCACATATTCTCTCTTCTTAATAATAAAAAATTACCGAGATATTTTAATATTCTCAGAAAGAAAGAATATTTTTATTTTTTAAAAAGAACTTGCTTTATACTTAACTTAACATAAAAATATATTTCCATTCAACAAAATTCTAATTACAATATATTTATAGACGTTACACACACACAATGAGCTCTTTCATTTTTACGTGAAGTAAAATCGAACGTCCTTCTAACGTAATACTGCTGACGTAATCTTACATACATGACATAATATACGATGTATAGGATATAATCTTGTGTTTAAAACATATTTATATTTACGTAATTGTTTAAAATTTACGAAATTTAAAAAGAGTACTGAAAAAAGTCAAATATAAATAGTCGCAAATATTCTGTTTTCCAATATTATGTTTCAAATACAAAAGAAAATAATAATAATAATAAATTTATCAATGAATATTTTTACTATATTAAATCTATTTCTACGTATCACGTTAAAATTAATAATACGTATGTGTAAAAAATAAATACAAACGGTTTTATACCCCGCTCGCGTCATCCCTGGTGGGGATCGAACCCACGACCTTTGGATTAGAAGTCCAACGCGCTATCCTCTGCGCCACAGGGACTTGGTGAATTCAACAGCTCGATTGCTATAATAGAAAAAACTATACATCTTTCATCTCTTCTTTAACAGATGCCGCCAGTGCGCACGGCAATTAAAGCGTCCAGTAATGCATACTCTGAAATTTTGTAATAAACATGTAATCTTATATTTATGCGGAAATTTTCGCATAACAAGAATATTCGATTAAACTAAAGACGTCTCATCAAAACAACATATGATCGCTGACTGTTACGATTTTTTTTGCTCTCTTTATATATAAAAAATTTTCGCAAGATATATCGGTATAATTATAAATATATAATTGTGCATTTTAGATTATTTATATAAATTTTTATAACGGATGAAAAATTTGTTGAGAAATATTTCCATTAATCAATATTTTCAGTTTTGAAAAATGTGATGGACGTTTGAGGGGTCCAGGGCGAACAACCTCGCGCCGTTCCTGCGAGAACGCAACGGGGACAAGAGGGATTTCTTCGCAGCGGAAGGGATTGACGGGAAAGATGGCCGTCGCGGAACATATGACAAAGAACGGCGGGTTCCTGTCGCGGCATCCGATGACGGCGACATCCTCGCGACGACGAGCGGAACGCGGCACAGCTGATCGTCGCCGTTAACCGCCGCCCGTCGGCGGCCGCGTCGTCGCGTCGTAACGTTTCTCCCGGTGCGGCGACGGGGCGACAGGAAGATCGGAGACAGACAGAAAGAAAGAGAAAGTGTGCGTGTATGTGTATGTGCGCGTGCGAATTCGCGTGGGTGTTCTCGGTCAGAGCGCGACTCGGGGGGTCGGAATCGAAGATCGACGTGGTCGCGTCCGTGGTGCTGCTTCGTGGTGCCACCGTCGACGTCGTCGACGCCGTCGTCTCCGCATCCGTGGTGATATAGTGGTGATATAGCGCGGCGCAGCGGGGGAGCCATGACTACGCGTGGAGAATGGGCTCGATCGCGTCGGTGCTGCAGTGGCATTGCTCGGAGTGCGCCCTGATAAATCCGACGGAGAGCGCGAGATGCGCCAGGTGCGGGCTGACGCGGCTCAGGAGCGACGAGAGGGTCGGCAGTCACGACGACCGTGCCTCGACGATCGCCGCGGAGCGTAGCGGAAGCGCGCGGCAGGAGGGCGCGGGGGCGCGCGAGCGACGGTCGACGAGGGGACGCGAGGACGGTGAGTGCCCGCGGGCACTGGTGTCGTCGTCCACCTCCGGGGAATCGACGCCGCCGACGCCGCCGCCGAGGACGGATAAATTGGCGGCGCGCAACCCGACGGATACGTCGCTACCCGTCGGCCAGCGCGGCGAGTCCCGACGCGCTGTTACTAACGGGTGAGGGTCGCGATTTCATCCCCTTCCCACCATCCTTACCTCTTGTGGCTCCCTTTGCTCCCCATGCGTGTTCGTGTATGCCTCGAGGAACCGCCGATCTTGTCACTCTACATGGATATCTATGACATGTTTGGATCGGTACTATTTTGGTATTAAATGTGATTATCTGAGTCTCTTATGTATGTCATGTTTATGTCAACAGTGAACATAAGATCATGTAGCGCATTTAGATCTATGTCTCTTGTATATTTAGCCTTTAATTAGGCTGCCTGATTATTTACTTTTATTGAGAGTGTTTACATTGAATAAACAAACTAAGTGTATATATATATATATATATGGCAAGTTGCATTAGATCTGCATTGTAGGATTGTTTTGTCTGTTTAAGTTATCAAATCAATTTAATTTTTCTATAATAAATATAATATTGCCTGTGTGTATATGTGTGTTGTTTATGAGACAAATGTCAATTATAATTATATTCTCACACATATAGACACTTTATAATTGTTTCTAGAATGCAATGTTTTATTATATTACTTTTGTAATATTGTTATAAAGTATTGTTATATTCTTATGTAATGTGTTCCTATAAACTTGCAGTTCCGAGAGATATTTGTCTGCATGCGAAGTTAAGAAAAATTTACATTGTGGTTCGTGGAATGGCAGCTCATCTGAGAGGATACCACTGAAACGTTTTTCATCTTTACCTTCTTTAATCACACAATGGACTTGTATTCGATGTCTGTTGGACAATAACTGCAGTTCATTGATTTGCGCGGCTTGTGATGCCAGTGCGTCAATAGCTCAAATCGATGGAAAGAAGATTGGTGCACGCAAGAGCAAAAAGATTAATCTACATAAAGAAAATCGTCTTAAAATCACCTCTGGACTTTTGACAAATATCCTAGATGTGAATGCTAGTACGAACGGTTCCAATAATAATGATAAAATTAATAATACAGGTGAGTTTTATGAGTATTATAGTAGTTAATCGAAATGCATTCTACGCATCATTAAATTGTTGCTTTAAAATTTTGCAGGCATGGCACAGTTGACAAGCATAAGTCGAAACGAAAGACAAAGAGTGGACCATAAAGACTGGATTTTACCATCAATTGGAGCAATGGAGTCCACTGCGCTTCCGTTCACAGATACCGATACCTCTCAACGCTCTCCGAAACGGCACAGTCCTTCTATGTATGAACGGGTCAAGTCTAAAGTCAGTCGTTCGTTATCGAACGGTTCCGTTGTTCAAAAATTATCGGAACATGTGGTACAAAGACCCACGAGTCTAGTGGTACCGGAAACGCGTCAGGATGATGGCTTATGGAGCTGTGACAATTGCACGCTGGACAATGCGCCCGGTTTGGAACAGTGCGAGGCGTGCGACGCTCCTAGGAGCCCCGCGCCCTGTAGCGGAGTGGTTATTAGCGTGCCAGCTTGGGTACCGCGCGCACTATCGTCCGCGGGGCCCCTATCCTACAGAAGATCCTTCTCCGACGCCGATTCCGTCGCGAACGTGACGCAGAAGAAGACTGTCAATCGTAGAAGTTTAAACGACGAGGAACCGCCCGCGGTGCCGCCACATTCCATCGGCTTCAACTCGAGACCAAAGTATTCCTACATCGGGATTACGGATCCCGATATACCGCCGCCATTGCCAAAGAAACAGAGCAGTAAGTTAGGTCTGGTGCCGACGAAGGCGCATAGCGAGGCGACCAGTCCGGTGGGCGATGTACCGAACATGAGTCCGCTTAAGCGTATGTGGACATGCAGAAAGTGTTCTTACGCGTATAATCCGTTGTGGTCCAGCGGTTGCGATATTTGTGGCTCGTCCAGGTCGCCCCCATCGTTGACGCAACCCAGCTTGATAACCGTCACAAAAGACACGAGTAGCTACCCGACGCACGCACAATCGCCGATCGTGGTGTCGAGAGACAGTGTCAGATATATACCACCGAAGTCAGCCACCCTGGCCACGGCGGAATCCGATTTAGACGATCAGATCGATCCACCGTCGCCGGTATGGACGTGCAAAAAGTGTACTCTACTGAATGCCGCGTCGAGAACGACATGCGAGGCTTGCTGCGGCTCGAAGCTGAAGAGCATCATGCATTTGGAAGATGCCACTTTGCGAAAAGGCGAGAGCTGGGTATGCCCGTCGTGCACGCTGAGGAATCCGCTCTCGGCACAAAACTGCAACGCCTGCAAGACTTTGGCAGACTTTCTGGAAGTTCCGAAGGATAATAGAGCTCTAGGTCAACGGAGTCCAAGCCCGAGGCTCTGCTCGACCCCGACGAATTCCAAAGCGGTTACCCCGAGGCATAGAAATTCTGTAAGAAGAAACGGTTCGTCAGCAGCTGACAAAAGGCACTCGAGGACCAGAGATTCTTCGCATGCTCAAGTTAGTATCTTCTTTTTCGTGGAATTTTCGGAAATAAGTTATTGACACACAATAATTCTTAGTTGGCCGATTCTTATCATAGTTTTTAATTTTTATTCTTATCATTTAGCTTGTTACATTAAAAGCTAAAACATTACTAGTTTTGCCTTATTTTACAATTTTATATTTACATATCTTAGTGGCAATGTAAATTGTGCACGTACGAAAACAAGAGTTCGACTGTTGTTTGCGAAATGTGCCAAAGCTCAAAATCGCTGTCTCAAGTATCTGGAGATAGAGGGATATCTAGGCTCCTCGAATCAGGCACTAGTACTCTTAGAATACAGCGGCAAGAGAGCGTGGTGATGGAAAATCTCAGGCAGCTAGAGGAAAGAGAAGCGCTAGAAAAATGGGAGCGCATTGTTCGATATTGCAAAGAGGTAATCTGTGTATGGCTAAAGTATTGTAAATTGTTAATGAAAATTAAATGCTTTTCACGTTTATTTTATAGACAAATGAGCCGTTTGTTGACGATTCGTTTCCTCCTGCTCCGAAATCCTTGTACTATAATCCCGCGGATACAAAGGATAATCACGTTGTCCAATGGAGAAGGCCACACCAAATTAACGTGGACTCAAGTGTCGATTCTAAACTGCCTTGGGCTGTCTTTAGGACACCCTTACCCTCTGATATCTCGCAAGGTGTCTTAGGAAATTGTTGGTTACTATCGGCTCTGGCTGTTCTCGCCGAGAGTGACGAGCTCGTAAGAAGAGTTCTGGTCATGAAGGAGACATGCCCCGAGGGTGCTTACCAAGTTAGACTGTGTAAAGACGGAAAATGGACGACGGTGCTTGTTGATGATCTATTACCCTGTGATAAGAGAGGTCACTTAGTGTACTCTCAGGTATATCTTGTCTGTATGTTACCAAAAGATACGCATTATAGATACTATATATTAATATTTGATGTGTACATATATCTTATATTTATTTATATCTATTTACAAATCTGCTTTATTTTTATTTGCGCGTTTTTATTCGCAATATTATTAGTGACATATGCATCTTATATTGAAGGCAAAAAGAAAACAACTTTGGGTGCCGCTAATTGAGAAAGCAGTCGCTAAAATACACGGCTGTTATGAAGCCTTGGTATCCGGCCGTGCTATAGAGGGTCTAGCGACATTAACTGGTGCCCCGTGTGAGAGCGTGCCTTTACAACCTTCAGCATTGCCAAGCGAAGACGAACTCGACAAGGACCTAATATGGGCACAACTCTTGTCCTCAAGGCAGGCTATGTTTTTAATGGGTGCTAGCTGCGGAGGAGGTAATATGAAGGTTGACGAAGAAGAATATCAACGCAAAGGTTTAAGACCAAGGTAAATCGAAAATTTGTTTTATTTTATGTTATTTAAGTTCAATTTTGCGTGCTTTATTTTCTGTCGTTCCTAATTAAAACGTGCGTCTCTTCCAGGCATGCGTATTCTGTCCTCGATGTACGCGATGTACAGGTAGGTTTCACAGATGCTGTACTTAGCTTAGGGTTTAATTTAACTTAGCTTGAAACATGTTATGTCGCGCATATCATCTCGACGGTAAAAGGAAATTATTATATTATGCAGGGAATACGGTTGTTACGATTACGCAATCCTTGGGGTCACTATAGTTGGAAAGGGGATTGGTCGGACGATAGTCCTATATGGACTTTGCAATTACGAGAGATGCTTATGCCGCATGGTGCTTCGGATGGCGTCTTTTGGATATCCTTCGACGACGTTCTAAAGTACTTCGATTGCATTGACATTTGTAAGACAAGAGTCGGATGGAGCGAAGTGAGATTACGCGGCACTCTTCCTCCATTGTCGTCTCTCAGACATTTGTCGTGCGTCCTTTTAACAGTATTGGAACCCACCGAAACAGAGTTTACGCTGTTTCAAGAGGGTCAAAGGTAAGATGATCACATTATCTCGCGCGCGCGCAAGCATATCATACAATATAACACAAATAAATAATTTTATAGAAATTCGGAAAAGTCGCAACGTTCTCAATTGGATTTGTGCGTCGTAGTCTTTCGTACAAGATCTCCGGCCGCTCCGGAAGTTGGTAGACTAGTGGAGCACAGTAAGCGGCAAGTACGTGGTTTTGTCGGCTGTCACAAGATGTTGGAGAGGGATCTGTATATCGTTGTGTGCCTAGCTTTTAATCATTGGCACACTGGGATGGAAGATACGTCCAGTTACCCAGAATACGTTCTCGCCATTCATAGTTCAAAGAGGCTTCTGGTCGAACAGATATCACCGCCTGCCTTTGTCTTAGCTGATGCTATTATAAGTTTAACATTAGCTAAAGGACAACGGCATGAAGTAAGCAATTAAATGTCATATTGAATAGTATTACATTACAGTGTAATGATTACACTAATTCGTTATAATACATTATACTAATATAATAAATTCACTATTATAATAATACACTATAATACTATATTAATAAAAGGAATTATTGCTTAAAATCATGTTGATATATAAACAGGGTAGAGAAGGCATGACCGCTTATTATTTAACTAAAGGATGGGCCGGTTTAGTTGTAATGGTCGAAAATCGTCATGTGAACAAATGGATTCACGTAAAATGCGACTGCCATGAAAGCTATAACGTCGTGTCCACAAGAGGACAACTCAGAACTGCCGATAGTGTTCCCCCTCTTCACAGGTAAGATATCATTGAATCTTCTTTCGTTGAGCACAAGATTAAATTTTACAAAATCATAAAATCCTTGTGTCCTTTCTAATTGTTTATTAAATTTTACGTTACTCCATTTTTTTAGACAAGTCATCATAGTTCTAACGCAATTGGAAGGTAGCGGAGGTTTCTCAATAGCACATCGACTTACGCACAGATTAGCTAACAGTGGAAATTTGCACGATTGGGGACCGCCTGATACACAACATTGTCCTCAAATTGACACTCAGGTGGAAGGTTTGCACAGTCCTCGCTTAATAACGTGAAGTATAAAATACGGACCGAATGAAGGCTGAACATTACCGGAGGAAAGTATTGTTAAGTGTAATCGGGAATGAATCTCGGAACGTCGAGAGAATTGACTGAAAAAAACCAAAGCAAGCTAGAAACATTTCAGCATACTGTAAGATGTTCTGAAGACATTAGAAAACTCTTCGTGCTTTCTAGCTGATAATACTCCACGGATGCTCTTAGCGTTGCAACGTGCTCAGCATTGGACGTAATACAATAAGTAACAATTAATGTACAATGGTTCTGGACCCAGTGATTTAAAAAAAAAAAAAAAAAAAAAAAACAGATATCTTCTTTCAAGTAGATAGTGGTTCATGCACTTTGCGCGCACTGACGGGAAAAAGGAAGAACTTAGAATGAAAAAAAAGTAAAATATAAAATACGTGGAAATTAAGTGTTTCTGCTGGAACCATTAAACCCCATAAAGAAGACTTATGGAAAATTGAATATTTATGAAGAAACAAGTTGAACATTTTGCTTGTTATATAAACAAAAAAAAAATTATTTTCTCAACTTAACGTTTATGCGTCGTAAGAAATGACAAAATCTAAAGAGATTACATAATAATATAATATATATAAAATGAAACCATTAGAGAAAACACATTATATAAGGATATGTGTGGACACCGTACACATTGTTTTTGGAATTGCTTAGAATGTAGTACGAGTATATCGGATCGGAACATTTCCGATTTAACCAATGTTTACATGCCGATCTTATTGCTGTAACATGTAAGGCCGTATTCGAAACCCGCATTTAAGAGAACTTGAATTCTTAGTTCTATTTAATGTGTGCACGCGCGCGCGTGTGCGCGATATAAAAAGAGAGGCTGGAATTTTATGCAAGAATTTCCATGTATCGATTGTAGGGTAGAACGTTTATCTAGACTTCGTTGTTCCCCCTTGCAATTGGAGAATGTTAAAATGAACGTAGCTTATGGTTACAAAGCGAGCAAAAGAGAGAGAAAGAGTGAACTAAAGATCTTTCTTGAAAGTTTTAAAATATCTGGACTCGTTCACTGCCATTCTATGCAATGTATGTATATAGTTTATTTTTCTTTCCACCATAAAATCGCTTGATTAGTTTTGGGGGATAGAGGTTGGAATCGTCGATGACATTCCTCGCATACTTGTTATCATTCTTTTACCTTGATAAATTGGTTGCGAAATACACACGGGGCAAGCATGGCAGTTAGCGGGTTAAAAGTCATTAATTTTGTGTTTGAGCTTTAAAAAAAAATATGTTAAAAAAATGTTTTTTTGTCCATCCAGCTGATAACGCGTTCATAAGATGAATTTTTGTCGGGAAAATTCAATATTTCGGTTTTAATGTCAAACTGCCATATTCCATGTTTTAGACAATGGTCGATTGGCACGCGCAGCATGTCTTGCAAATTCTATCGAATCAAAAAATTGTTTAGTGCTCTCTATATACATTGAATGTGGTGATGCGACAATACGCGATGCTGTGATCAGTCAATAATGCTTCGACTCAAACCGAAAATTTAATTCTCTGTTATATCTTTTGTTTAACAGAGAGACTGAGAGAGAGAGAGCATTGTGAACGCTTTTCAATTAACAGTACAAAATTCCCGTCTACTCTAAATTCGCTCGTTTTATAAATGAGTGGAATAGAATCGTATAAGTTTTATTTCGAGACAATTTTTCTGTTAACAATTTGTAAATTATATAATATTGCTGTTAATAATTTAAATTGCATGAATTATAGCTTAAATTATAGTTTTTATTCAAGAATAATTCACTTTAAATATCACTTTATATCGATTTTTATACGTATCGTATCTTAAGTTGCGCAAGCTTAGATTATTCGAGCCATCTTTTTCATATCGCAAATCGCAATCCCACTTATGCGATTGTCTTTCGCGAAGAAATAAAGCGCAAGCGAGACGTTTATTCCTCCTCCCTCCGTCGATCTCAAAACAGCAGGCCGAATTGTCTTAGCGAGGCCTAAGTGTAGTAATTATAGTTTTAAGAATTAAACGAAGAACATAGTTTCAGGAAATGTCCGTTTAAACAATCCGTAATGCGTATATTGACGGAAATACGTCCAGATAATCAATCTTCACAGCGTGACGCGCTCAAAGTTCAGTAAACGTTTATGATCGAGAATCAATTCTCTTGTGCGATGATTTAAACGACACGACGTTTTAGCACCGGTCAACTAACTGCCTGCAAACGTCGTTTAATTCATCGAAACATTCGAGAAATTTATTCTTGAAGTATTCTACGAATACTCTTAATATTTGCAGTAGATTCTGTATTGAGTGGCCTTCGTTTACAAAAGATACTAGCTTCGTAAATATAAGACACGGACTACCGGAGTTGTGCGTTTCAGGAAATTGGAATATAAAAATCTTAAAGTTCGTTAACACAAATACTAAAAGCGAGGTAGAAGCTGATTAAAAGAGAGAAGAGAAGCGTCGTGTCTCTCCTCGCATCACCCCCCTTCGAAACGTACAATACTCTTATTGTGAGATCACGCGCCCACATTTCTTAAACAAACGTAAGATACCGAAAGATCTAGAGGAAGAATCTCATTTTTTGTACCAGGCATGAGTTGCATTTTACGCGAGGACAGTGCTTTGGAGACTATATACGGAAACGCTAATACACCTAGTGCCATACGATGTCGTCGTAACGACGAGATTTACCCTTCCCGTATAAACGGACGGCGAGCCCCGACGATGACCGTACATATTCGCATGTCATAATATAAGCGTGCCCCCCCCCCTCCCCCCCTGCGGAATATAAGCAAACAAATAATCTATTTTACATATTGCATAATCACCGAGGCTGAAGGCATTAAGAGAACGTTCCCGTTTTGCGGCGTTTAAGACCGCACCGTTTGGCGCTGTTTGTAAAAACGCGATGAATGTGAACGTTAATTTATTAACGGGTATTGTGCGGTAATCTGCGGTGCACGCGCATTTTATTTTTCCTGTGCACGTATACAGAACAAATCGATAGAGTCCTACATAGCAAAAGGAAATCTATTACGGAATCTTGTTGTTGTCAAGTTACATTTCTCACCATTTTTCCTGTGCACGTATACAGAACAAATCGATAGAGTCCTACATAGCAAAAGGAAATCTATTACGGAATCTTGTTGTCAAGTTACATTTCTCACTGGAGAGAATCGTATGATATTTCTGAAATAATTTATATAAAGCGCATAAAGAGAGATGCACCTGGGAAATATTATTAAAGTGTACCCACAATATAACCACATCGCCATCTCTTTCCTTTATTAGGATGTACCTATATTTTTACTATGGCGTTCACGAAATATTCTTAGGACATCACTGTCAAATTTTTTTTGCGATTTCTATTTCTTTTATCGAAATATTCTTTCTGAGCAGCTCAGTATCAATATATAATACATGTTTCTATAATATAAAATATGTGTTTTTACGCATATATAATATATTGATAATATCGCAAGAAATCGAAATTGTATGTGCGTGTTTGAAATATTCAGGGACTGATATCAATATATATATTCCGTAGATTTTTATTGTTGTGTGGGACGCGTATCGATATACCAAAACTACAACAACCGATGTTATTCCACAGCTTGAAAGTATAAAGAAAAGTATAAATGCATGTCAGTCGTGGAGATAAAAATTTCAAGCAATATTGAATAATATTGATTGTTTTAGTTTCGCGCGATTTTGATATATTTTGATACAATGGAAAAGAGGCAAAGTTCGATCGTCGCCATTCTGTCAAACAATCGCCGTGAAAGATCTGCACAAGCTAGAAGCGGACAAGATGTACATTTTAAGAGCAATAACTCATCGTGCGTTTAGCGCTATACTTACTTAATTTCGAAGAGTTCTTCTCGATAATCGATAATCACACATCCATATTTTTAAGATCAGCTGCACTACCAATTCTCGATTGGTCTTTATGTAATCACGCGGTTTATCGAAATTTCTTTCTTTACATTGTATCTCTAGGAATACGCAGAAGCGACATTTAAGCTGAATAAAGTTCGACACAGCTGAGTGTTAGCGACACAAAACTAGCTCTTAACGCTAAACGCGCGGCGAGAATGCAGGCCTACGTAAGCACAAACATCCTGTATGGAGGAAGTACCATTTGTACATAAAGACGAATAATTTATTCTATTAATGGGAGAGAGAGAGAGTGAGAGAGAAAGAGAGGGGAGCTAGCGTTGTGTTATATTTGAGTTGTTTTGCATGTGCTTCGATGTTTCCGTCACACGCGGCTGCAAGCCGCACGGCGAGTTTGTATAATGCATTCTATATAAATATAAAAAAATATATATATATACACAAACACACACACATAGCGCAGTTAGAGAATGATATACCGAGATCGAGATACGACGATGACGTGCGAGGCGTAAATATCCGTTCGCGTCGTCTCGCGCGTTGGCGACGCGCGTTCCTTGAAGAGGATGTCGTTTCTCCTAGAAACTTTCCTCAATTATTATTATTATTATTATTATTATTATTATTATTATTATTATTGTTATTGTTATTTATCGCGTTTTAAGGCGACATATTTCTCCGCGTGTCGCCGTCACGCGAGTGGCCGGCGGATTATTTAGGGGCGGCCGCACGACATCGCAGAGTACCTAGGAATATATTCTTAATATGTGAAGAAAATATAAGAAAATTAACGGTGTCTCGTTGTATTTGTATAATAAGGTGTAAAGAGAAAAAAGAAAAAAAAAACAATGGTGTCATTCTCATGAGCGACTCATATTTCGTAAATGATGCTACATACGTACCGGGTGCATTCTAAATTGCATACAAGCGTTAATTAAATGTCTATATAATTTTTATCTCGATACGATGGAATTAGAACGACCGACGTGGATCACTTTGTACGGTCCGGTATAGTAAATACAATGTCAAAAATTTGGAAGATGAAACTTTATATATACTACGCCGGAGAATCCCCGATTAAAATTGAGATTGGAGATTCTGGCGGTTTACTTCACCGATCGCCCTGTAGATTCTGGATTTGATTGGTATTTATTCGAAAAGTGTCCCTTGGTTCTAATTCTACAGGCCGAGCGCGATAGCATTGATTTTTTTATAGTTTCAATGTATTGGTCCTTGTGACGAAATTAAAATCGATGTTCGAGAAAGATTTACAAGAGCGAGGACAGAGAATGTGAGATCAACGGATATCAAGGATGTGAAATCATCGTGGCAAACGTTATATCATACGTATCGCGGTTTATCGACGCGATCATTTTAAAGAAACGTATTTTAAAGAGTCGAGTATAGCAGAATATAATATATGGAGAAAAAAAAAGATGTTTTTGAATGCGCGTTCACTTTTATGTCATTCAGCTCGCGGCTGTGATCATTTTAGAAACACCCATGTACGAACCCGAACCAGCAATCAACTTTGTGATAGTCTGTGTACCGTATCTGGTGAACATCGTAAACTAATCCCATCCCCTATAGATAAGGTGTAATAATTATTAGACTCTCATCACACACATACACATACATACACACACATACACGCAAAGGAGAAAACATATTTACTACGTCATAAAGCGATAATGAGATTGTGTTGTCCCCTGATTTGTATCATGTAGGCACGTTTAATAATAAATCGAAATATTATCTAGATTGTCTTCGTTATTTCCAGTTCTGCAATTGCGTATTAATTTATCACGAAATAGTTATCGATTCAATCAGGTTCAATGAAAATTTGCGTAAAATATAATTCTATTTTTTCTCTGCCACGAGCGGTCTAAGATAAACTTGTCATTACGTAATACCATTGTCAGTGATGATTTGTCTTAAATGCATAAGATCCTTTTATATTTTTCATAATTTATGTAATCCTTTAATTTTAAATATATATATTGAATATATATGAATTGTGTTTGCGCGTTTATATGTATCAGTATAGATCTTCCTTCGCTTCGCCTTAAAATAGTAGCGTGTATGTCCGGCCTATAATTAAACGTAGCCGTCGTGCTCAGCACAAATGGCTGCTGTTCAGTGTGATAAAGTTAGCGGCCAGTGCACGATGTTTCCGTAATTTAGTAATTCCGATTTAGGCTTAAAAAATTGAATGAGCGAATAAAATATAATTTCGATAGTCCAATGCTTACTTCAGCATCTTTCTCGAATTAAAAATATAACGTTAAATAAGTAAATAAAACGGTAAAAAATAATTCGATAGTGACGTACAAAGTGACGAGACGGCTCTTCCTCAGTTCAATTTCCAGTTCTAAATTGATTGAATTAACTGATCAGATTTTACAGACAAAAGAGGATTGAGGATTAAAGTCTAAATTAAATTAAATTTTACCACAAGGACTTTCGTTAATAATCTCGGGGGAATTAATCGACCATGGAAATCGCTCCGAGTCGTGGCGTGTGTCCGGTGTGCGGTAAAAACGCCACGCTAAAGTGCGGCAACTGCAGACGCGAATTTTACTGCGACAAGTCGCACCAGTCTCAAGACTGGCCGCGTCACAGGTCCGCGTGCATCGCCTGGGAGATCGGTCGCGATCCCGATCTCGGACGACACTTGTTGGCGACCAGGGACCTGGCACCCGGAGACGCAATCCTGTCGGAAGCTCCATTGGTCTGGGGACCGTCGATACACGCGATACAGCGGCTCTGCGTCGGCTGCGGCAAACGATGCGACGGCGACATCAGCACGAGATGCGGCGAGTGTGGCTGGCCCGCTTGCAGATCCGATTGCGAGGGACTGTCCGATAAAAAGAGGCACAAGTCGGAGTGCGCTCTTCTTGCGCGCGCTAGAATCATTCCCAGGTATATCATGTGTCCCGACAGATCCCAGCAAATAATTTTTGAACCGTTCGAGCCTTAATTAGCGAAATGCTTAACGAGGGTGGGGAAATTTATTTAATCGCGACTTTTGCATCGCGATCTCTCGTTGTGAAACGTTAGACGTGTCTTCTCCTAAAGACGCGGACGTTTCTCAAGTCACACTTGTCTTCGTTCCGTCGTTAACTTCGCGATTCACGACTCTATGCCCGCAGATGCGAAGTTCTTCTGGTGATTCGTATGCTGATACTGTGGCACACAAAATCGAAACGCTGGACGTCCTTGGCGAATCTGCAGAGTCACGAGGACTCGCGGGGACCCGGCACGGACGCTCACGACGAAGTGACGAACATAAGTCAGCATCTCGGGCCGCTCTTGACGATGGCATCCGAATGCAGGGACGTTTTGCCCAAGATTTGCGGGCTGATCGACGTGAACGCGTTGGAGACCGTGCCGCCGGAAGGCTCGATGGCGATTTACGAGAACGCGTCTCTTCTGGAGCACTCTTGTATGGCGAATACGCGACACAGTTTCCGCATCGACGACAGAGGTAGACCGCGCATCACGGTATACGCCGTCACGTCCATTAAAAAGTACGTATATATCTTTATTCATTTCTCTTAAAAAAATCATCTCGTTCTTTACATCTTTATACAAAAAATTTATTATTATCCTCGCGATTATTTTTAGAGGGGAACACTTAAGTACCATGTATACGCACGCGCTTTGGTCCACCAGGATCAGACGAGAGCATCTTCTCGCAACGAAATACTTTGCTTGTCGATGCAAACGTTGCGCCGATCCCACGGAATTGGGCACGCATTTAGGCACTCTAAAGTGCCCTTGCAAAAGCGGGCTCATGTTACCGAACGATCCTCTGAATTCTAACACAGACTGGTCCTGCAACGTGTGTCCGGGAATAGTGACGTCCTCGGAAGTCGCGCAATTGATGGACAGATTAGAGGAAGAAGTCGCGGGGATCATGAAACAGGCGACCGAGTACACTTTATCCGATCTTCTGTCACGGTAAAGTAATATCTGTCGTCCCCCATAACATTTATTCGCATTAATTTTCAATTAAGAACATATTAATATTTAATGAGTAATTAAGCATCGGTACATAATAAATAAATTTTTTGTATTATTGTACGCGAGAACTAACCATACTCGTTCATTTTCAGGCTAACGATGCTGCTACATCCCGGTCATCAACATTGCATATCCGTGAGCCATTCGCTGATACAATTATTGCCGCCGAGCGATCCACAAAAATCGGAATTATGTAAGCTCATTTTGGATACGGTAACCCGATTGGATCCGCACGGTGCACGTTTGGCACTTTATACAGCGGTTACTCTGCGAGAGCTCGCGTCGTGTCCTGACGAGGACAGGCAAGCTCATCTCTCCAGAGCAGTCTTGCTGTTGAAGGCGGAACCACCGAACTCACCCGGTGAGAAACTTCTCAAACTTGTTGAAATAGAACTCCGAGTCTTTTAATAATAGAGGAATGCAGATGGTTATATTTTTATTATTCGAACAAAACGTAAAATGAGAAAGGATTCGTTTTTTATTAAAAATATACGAAAAATAATCGTGCATGCAGCGTAATATTGCGTGTACGATCACTTGTCATTTTACTTGTCTAAATTTATTTATTCGTTTTCTCGATTTAGAGAGTGTAATTTATGTTCACAGATACACAGATAGCCATAAAAGTGGCAAAAATATTCAATGTACTTATTTATAGAATAAAAAGTGTACGTATAAAAAGGCTTATAATTATATAAAGAATGTACATACACGTGTTACGCAAATATCAAAATATACGTTGATAATGTACGCTATTATGGTCGCTCCGCATTTGCCGCGGGTACTGATTGTACATACATTGTCGTAAAATCTAGACTAGATGACTGCGTGCCACGTGAAATGCGATCGAACGAAATCCTGAAATCCGGAAGCTATTCCTCGTCACGTGTGTTATACATTTTATACGTTGATTTACTTCAATGTCTTCTCACGTTTGGTTGGCGAACAAATTTAATAGCAAGATAAAATAATGCACATGCGAAGAGAGAAAAAGATTATATTTATCGAGCAAAAATTGAAACTTTATATCGTATAGTCGCATCTTTGTACTCTTACACTTTGTCAGGGAACAATTTTGAAAGATATAAATATTTCGATGCGACTATCTACTTTAATAGATTTTTGTAACTCGAGTCGCGCATTGTTATCAAAATAAACAATAATTTACGATATGTTTCGATTCTGGAAATATCGCGGACGGCCGTCTCTTTCCATATTACTGTTTAATGAAAACAAGTTGACCTTGGATTCACCGACGGTGGATTATCATCGCGTCGCTATTACATAGTACTCGCTTGACAGGAATCGCGTTGATTACGTTACGCAGGTACGTCGCGTGCGCACACCCAGCAGAGGATAAGATAAGGACTGGCCCTTGAGTTGCGCTGTGATCTGCAGGAGGTAGGCTTTGCCGGGCTGCAGCCTCCTCAAGGTGAACGGCAGCGCGCGATCCTTCGGAGGACTATGCTTCTCCTCGCATACCTCGAACGTGTATTCGGACCGCCTGCGCCGATGAAGCCCGCACTGATCGGGCACGGTCGTGACGCTGGTCAGGGACGACGAACTCCGCAGTTCCTTCACCAGGATGCAATACTTGGCGGCGCCGGCCGGTTCTACGCCTATCGTCACCTCGTGACAGGTCCTCAGAGATCGGTACTCGCGCGGCGGGCTTCTAGATGGTATCTGCGTCAAAAATGCGAGATCCAATTCGCGCTTCTGAACGGTTAAGATTTGGAGATTTGATTTCAATTCGATGATGCAATTTCGTGCAATGTTTTATATTATTGTAAATTTTTAAAAGATGATAATCGGATTTATCTCCGTTTGGACAGTTATTGCTTCCGCAACATTAGAAAGCATGAGAAGAGAGAGAATAAAGAATAAAATACACACAAAAGAATTTTTCACGGTCGTTGATATACAGGGTGTTCAAAAAAAGTTGTACCAAATTTTAGGAGTATATAGTACTCGTAAAAATAATCCAAAAAGTTTTAATAAATAGTATTCAAAAAACTATTTATTTTTGAGTTATAAAGCATCTTCTGTTATTATAGATAAAACTCATTTCAAATATGCATTGTATGATTGTATTTTCAAGAAAAGTGGATAAAACGTGGCGATCTAGTTGCATGGCCACCTTGCTCATCCGTTAGACTTTTATTTATAAAGACACTTAAGGAGCATGATGTATGCCATATCAGTTGATACATTGGATGAACTGATACAGAAAATTGAAAACTATTGTCAACAAATACAAAATAAACCTGGGATCTTTGAACGTGTTCGATTTTCAATGAGAAAGCGTGCCGAATAGTGTGTTGAAATGAACGGAGGGCACATCGAACATCTACTATAGCTTGAATTTATTTAATAACAGAAAATGCATACTTCTAAAATTTGGTACCACTTTTTTTTAACACCTTGTATATAAGAGGAAATTTGTGCAGTCTGTAAACATACTTGCGGATAAATAGTGGATGACTCCTGTGTGGCTAGCACTTTTATCATGGATACTCGAACTAGTTCCTGCGGTGTGGTCGATATACGTAACGTGTACGTCTTTCTGGGAGGTAGAGGAGGTACACGCAATGAGGCATATCCAACAACCTCTTTTTCCTATCGATCATATGAAATACGCACTTTTAAATATCAACGATGTCGCGCTAAAGAATTTCAATTAATGACAGAACGATCAGCTGTTCCATCATCTGTCACATCTGATCGCTTTCCGTAAACTTTACCCGCAATATCCCCTGTCCGCTCAATTTCGCCTTCACGATGCCTCCGCCGCAGGGTAGTATGTGAAAAGTGCTCGAGGTGTTGTCCGGCGGTCGGTAACGGAAATTGACGAAACCGTCCGTCTTTCGTAGATTAGCAGTAGTGTAATGACCGGTACGTAACGTTAGTTCCGGCGTCTTTTTGAACCTGACCGCGTCGACGGCGACTCGATTGGAAACGTTATTCCGCGTGTTCACCTGTGTCAAACGATATACATTTCTCACAACTTAACTATAACACGCGAAATATAACATAATACGATTAAATCTGTAATTTTTATAGATATATATTTAGAAGACATAAATAAAATCTCATATGAGATAATTGGAGGAATTAATAATATTCGCGATCATTTTTTATTCTTGCGTGAAAATTAGAGCGAAAGCGGAAAAAACGTTTCTCGCGGATATATAGGATGTTAAGAAAAAAGGGTCACACATTTTGAGAGCAATCCTTTTTTTTAACATCCTGTATTTTGCTTCTGTCAAAACCAACTCGCTCAATTTCACGAATGACCGATTTGATTTAACTTGACGAGAAACCGACCACGTATAAAGTAAAGTTGTACGTAGTGTCGTATCTCATCCTATGAAGCGTCAGCTTGGTCTGCCGCACGCAGTGCAGACCTTCCGGGATGCCCCGATGGTGATGCTCCTTGGAGGACGATCCGGTTCTCGAAACCGGATGCGGATGAGCTTTCAGAACGTTCTGCGCGGCGCAGAGCGTCGACGGATGCGACTGCGAGCCCGAGGTGACAGCTAAACAGTAGTTTGAGAGATGAGGATCTACGTGGCTGGAAAAACAAATGTTCCGTCTCGAGATTGCACCTGTATGACGAAGTCATCGACGCGCGAGATGATCTTGCACCGAGATCGCGCGAGATATACCCATACAGCACACAAAGATTGCATACATATTGTAGCAATCTTTCACCGCAATATTGCAACTTTGCAAACTCACTGCAAAATGTTGCTGCATCATTGCTGTGGAATTGCAGCAATGATAAAATGTCCGCTTTTAGGAATATTGCAACAAAATATTATAGCAACATTGCAATGTAATGAATTTGCAATGATGTATATATATTTATTTTTGGGTATATAAATGTGTAATTATTGACGATACATTGTAATTAAATGTCTTTATTTGTACTTATGTTAACGTTATAAATAACATAACATTGCACATAACATATTATTGCACTTAACATGTTCACGAAATAAAAATATATTTTTTTTATATTAGAGAAATATATAAAAATGGTTCAGCTTTACGCGCCGCTTTTATTACCACTAATAATTTATTGAATTTTGTCCATTATTGTTTTCCTTTGTTAAATGTCTGTAAAAATAAAATAGGAGTTAAAATTCATATTTACATAAAAATATACATACTGCAAATATACATAAAATAGGAGTTAAAATTCATATTTACATAAAAATATACATACTGCAAATATACATAAAATAGGAGTTAAAATTCATATTTACATAAAAATATACATACTGCAAATATACATAAAATAGGAGTTAAAATTCATATTTACATAAAAATATACATACTGCAAATATACATAAAATAGGAGTTAAAATTCATATTTACATAAAAATATACATACTGCAAATATACATAAAATAGGAGTTAAAATTCATATTTACATAAAAATATACATACTGCAAATATACATAAAATAGGAGTTAAAATTCATATTTACATAAAAATATACATACTGCAAATATACATAAAATAGGAGTTAAAATTCATATTTACATAAAAATATACATACTGCAAATATACATAAAATAGGAGTTAAAATTCATATTTACATAAAAATATACATACTGCAAATATACATAAAATAGGAGTTAAAATTCATATTTACATAAAAATATACATACTGCAAATATACATAAAATAGGAGTTAAAATTCATATTTACATAAAAATATACATACTGCAAATATACATAAATATTTTTATCAAATATTTTAAAGTTCATATCTACAGCAAAATAGAAAATTAGAGAAAGCAAAAAATATTCACATAAAAAATATACGAACATATATCATAGATAAATATAATTTTTACTTTTGCGATCTCAATAATTTTAAGGTTATATAGGTTATTAACCTTAGGACATGCTATTCTATTATAATTAATTAATACATAATATATATAGGTCGCTATAATAAAACATAATATTATCAAAAAGCTCTTACCTTTTCTCGTACGCAACAATAAAAAATGTGAATCACGAAATACACGACAATCACAGATATGTGCAGCAAGACCGGCGCCTACTACATACGCACACAATCGCGAACGCGTACATGTGCTGCGCAAAGCATACAGTGCAGCAATATAAGCCAATTTAAGAAAAATGTTTTAATAAAATGAACCATTTAGTATTGTTTATCGTTAACATCTTTCATGTAGAAATATTGCAAAAAATTATTTTATTATAATATTTTATTATTAAAATTATATAAAAATTGAATTTTGCAATATTTCCGAAATATTAATGTCATGTTGCTACAAGTGTGCTGGTACTTTGTGGCTCTATATTTCTGCAATGTCTTTGTAATGTTGCATTGCAATTTGCAACATTGCAATGTTGCTGCAATATAATTGCAATG